CCTCCTCCTCCTTCTTCACCTTCGACTTGAGGTGTCTTGATGCGCAACCAGTGCTTGACGCAGAAGCCCTTTTTCTTGCTCGGGGGTCTGGATGGTGCGCTTCGCCACCTCTACACTACTAACCAGGTCTGTCTCAACTCGAGACTAAGGGTCCCCAGCAACGAGGAACGGCATGCTCCTCGTTCGTTCGAAGCAGGGCCAGGACGCAAAAGGTGTTGTTGATTCATGTCGCCTACAAAATCGCTGTGAGAGCGGAACAGACTCAAGAACCGGGTGGTTACAGCGCACGCCCATGGTTGGGGCGTCTACGGATAGACGGATAGCATGAAATGATGGGTCACATATCTATCATTAGAAAATACAAAGACATGTATGAGACGCGGTGAGGAGAAGAAGTAAAGAGTGATGAGCCCGAGTGCGCGATTACGGGAGAATGTAAACAAACGAAAGAGGGAATGGTCGGAAAATGTAGATCTGCAACTGGAGGTAAGTACACAAAGAAACGACAGCCAAATAGATGTACCCATCGAGCTCCCCCGCACAATACGCTCGTCCCGCGATCTGAGCGCTGGCCGACAAGGGTTCCTCGGCCCGCTAAATTAGGGCATCACAATCCCCCAGTATCCCACCCGATGCCCAAGCGAAAGAGGCGTCGTCCCCGCTAACACCGAGCCTCACACACGGGAACAGGCGCGCTGTGTGAGAGAAGATGAGTACCGAGCCGAAGGTGAGGCTCGCCAGGACGTACAGATTGAATCGCCGTCTTGACGCCCGATTCTCTGTAATTCCCCACCGTGCTGCTCAGGTTGCCTTCGCACCCCCACATACCGCATCGTAAGGCAGCGGCGTGTGAGCGAGAAACACGACGTTCGAAATCGCTTATGGGAGATGGCGCTAGCGGAATCGCGGCTCTGGTAGATACTGAATGATCAGTATGTAGATGAGGTGGAGGCATCAGAGGAGCCGGACGTACCGTATGTCCCGTCTCCTCAAGAGGTCTCCCACCCTCGCTATCTCTGCCTGCTGGACGCACGAAAAGGTTGTCCGGTGGCGGGCCTGAGAGGGAGCTGAGCCGTCTGCGCGCTGCCTCGACCACAGAAAACGGAGTAACAACGGCGCGCGCACAGCAAGAGGATGGAGCTACCACGATGAGGTCAGCCGTCCCTCGGAACCGCGCAACGCAGCATTTCTCGCCCACCCTGCCCCCGACGAAGCTGCCGTCCAAAGCTCGCCCTCGCGGGTAGTGTCCTCGCCCCGATACCAAGAGATCCCTCCGCCGCGAGGGACACAGTCGAGCTCGAAGCCGGCGCCACTGACGAAGCTCCCAACCCCTGCCAGGTAGACAAATCTCTCCACTCTTCTTTAACACAGTATTCCAGACTCCAGTAGGCGCGGCAGGAGCGCACAGAAAGCGGGAGAAGAAGCCTGTAAACGACTTCGTGGTCGGGCGAACGATGGTCGTCAAGACGAACGAAGAGTATCGGTCAGGAGCGCGAGTGGTACGAAGAGTATGGCGGTGGCGATACGGGGGGCAATCTTCCAAAGCCGGCATCGGCTTCCTACTCGGCCCAAGTCGCAGACCCCGCGCGCGGGCCAAACGGGGCGGGGAACAAGCCGCTGCGGTGCAGATGCGCGTCGTATTGGTGGCGAAGGGTCCATGGGCATGGCACATGAGATCTGCAGACAGGGAGCATAGGGGGCGAGGGGTACCGGTATCGAGGGAGGCGGAGCGGGACGTTCGGTAGGTGCCGGCGCGGGATGTGGGGCGCGGCGAATTCGTGAAGTAAGGGTGTCGAGGGGCGTCGAAGGAGAGCAATGGTGGATGTCGTAGTCTCGTAGATGTGGCACGGGCGCATGGGGTGGAGGTGTCGCGTCGCTTGGATTTGATCTATGGTGGCGGTGGCGACGAATCTACGACTCGGCGATTCTCCAGGCGCAGTCCGAGGCGCAGCGGGTGCGGGACACGATCACGGCGGGAGTGTCGAAGGAGGAGTAGGCGCCGGGGCAACACTGGGAAGATCGGGGAGGGTGAGTGAACGTAGTGGGTGCGGGGAATAGAGGCGAATGGAGTTGGTGAGCATCTCAGCCGGCGCGGGTGTGCGAGTAGCTGCAGAATGGTGCTGGGGGGAGTGCGATGCCCGGGGCAGTGGCGGAGTGCGGGCTGTGGTAATGATGCTCGGCGTGGAGAGTACGGAGACGTGGAATACACGAAGGGGTGCTGGCTAGCGATGTTTCAAGGAGGACGCGGGGGAGCTCAGCAGGCAGTGGCTTTGCGGGGTGGTGTGATTATCCGTGCTACGTTCGTACACGAGTGAGAACGAAGCAGGACCCGATGGTGGGCAAGCTCTGCGGTGGCAAGAGGGAAAGGCGCTCGAATGGGAGACATCGGCGTGGGGCACGAGGAAGAAGTGGCACAAACGCCGCATCCGGCGGCGCAATCATGGTAGAATTCGGAAAGCGGCGAAAGCAACATGGAACGAAGATCAAGGAGGACTTCGAAAAGCTGGCCGTCTCAAAGCAAGCGGGGAATCGGGAAAGACCGGATGATTTGATGAGATCAATCAGTCATCTTCAACGCTTCATTCTTCCACTCGTCTATGTACGACTTCTAGCATCGAACCTAGGCAAAGCCTGGCTCCGCAATATTTATGGCAACATCCGTGTCGAAGGAAAACGGCGCTGCGATCTGCGATCCTGTCATTCGCCTCTTCTTCTCTTGTTTTTTATCATGCGACTGAGGAAGAAGGTTGGAAGAAGGGCTCTTGCGCGATACACATTCGTCTGGGAATCGCTCTCCCCACGCTACAGCCCCGACAGCCGCCACAAAACGCCTTGCGGGAACGTCTGCCTCTTGTCTGCCTCTCAATTGCGAATCTATTCTTTCTTTCCCATCTCATGATGTCAGTTTTACCCGCCGATCGCAATGTCGCGCTCTTCCTCGTACCACCCCACTGTTTCCTCGAAAGCCCGAAACCCATGCAAGGATCCTCCTCAAGCTCACGCTGAAAACAGTGCGCGTCCGCATCTGAGATCAATTTTCCCGTCCCCCAATCTCCTCCTCTTCCTGAACAAGGGATTCCACGCCAGACCACTGGACAGGCCTTTCCTTCCTTTAAAGCGCGCGTTAACGGTCAACCGTCTGTCTATTTTTGTCAGTGGATACACTTCACTACATGCATGCATACTTACTTACTCCCGCTGCTTGATCCGCACTGCGTGCAATTTATCCAAAGTATCAATCCCCGCCCTTCCAAATAGATAAATAGTTGCTCCCCGCCCAATGAATAAATTGGCGCTCTCCCACCATTCTCCTATATTCATCCATCCGTCCAGCATCTCTCTCTCGGCCGCGTATGTACCCTCCTCCCAATCAAACGATATTATAAATAAAAATGTACCAGAACAAAAGTGTTCGCAAACTTTCGATGAACTATGACCCATCCCAGAGTTGAACTGGGGCCTCCCACATAGGAGTTAACCTAACACGCAATTATTGTAGGTGCCCTGCCGAGTACGCCAACAGGTCTTTCCCTTATATTAATTTACCTGAATACACACGGTAGTTGCCCTGGTAAGTAGCAGATGAACGAGCCGGACAAAAAATGGGTGCGCAACAATATCAAATGACCTGTCCCAGAGTCGAACCGGGTAATGCAAGCCATCAAAGAACAGTCAGTTAATGTGGGTGCGCTACTGAGTGCGCCAACGGGTCATTCTCTTATCCTAACTGAGCCTGAATATAGCTTTGAATTTAAAATAAAACGAACCGGATAAAAATACGCTGGCGAGATGGTCAAATGACCTGCCCCAGAGTTGAACTGGGTCTCTCACATAGTTCTCAGAGCCAAGCCTTTAAGTTATGGTGGGTGCGCTGCCGAGTGCGCCTACAGGTCTTCTCTCTTATTAAATTGAACCATAATATACGCGGGCGTGAATTTAAAATGAACCAGTCCGTACAAAACAGTGCTCAAGCGATAAATCAATGACCCATCTCAGAGTCGAACTGGGGCCTCCCACATAATTCTTTGAACCGAGCCCTTCAGGTTATGGTGGGTGCGCTGCCATATGCACCAACAGGTCTTTCCTCATATTAATTGAACCATAAGAAGCAGTGGAAAGTTTTGAATTTAAAATGAAACATCCCGGGACAAAACCGCTCTTCGCCGATCAGATCATGGAGTCGAACTGGGACCTCCCACATAACAATCATTGCCGATACCAAATCATTGTGGGTGCGCTGCCGAGTGCGCCAACAGGTCTTTTCCTCATACTACAGTCGAGCTCAAAAGCGCGCCGAAGCTCATCGCGCAAGCCACCGGCATAGCCACGTTCGCCCAGTTCTTCGGCAGCATCGGCACGACTGCGATTGGAACGCCAGAGGGGCGGCGCGGGACGTACCAGCGCGAGTCGCGCCAGGGGTGCAGCGGCGAGTAGAGCGGTGCGGCGCAGGGCGTGGGCATGGACGAGGCTGTCAGCCGGCTGCGGGGGCTCCAGATGAAGACGTGCGGCCGTGGCGAGGGTACCCCGGATTCAATTTTTTTTACGTGCGGGGTACCTCTAACTAATACAGGCGCGATAGGTAATACGTACGGTTGGTTACCGGTTGCGGTTTTAGCTGTTGTAGTTGTTGCTGTTGTAATAAATAGGTCGTTCGGCCTGAGTTTGCTAGTCTGAATTGGCGAGATATGCTCAAAGTCCAATGTTAACGTTGTTGAGTCGCGCAGCTGCATCCCGCGGTAGAACAAAAATGAAAATGAAACGAAATTCGGACAAAGAGAAAAGAAGAAAATCGTAACAACACAACGCGAAAAAAAAAAAAAAGCGGATCAAGGCAATCCTCCCACAGAATTCGAAAAAAAGCCCTCAAAATTGCACGGGCGCGCTTCCAGCTCCGCTAACAGGTCCTGACAAAAATTCCATAGTTGTTTGAAGGCCGTAATATATGGTAGCAAAAGACTTTGAGCGATTTAAAAATTCAAAAAGAAAGGGGAAAATGGCCATGACCTATCTCGGATTCGAACTGGGCCTCCCGCAAATGTACAGATTTCACAGTAAAATTGAGCGGACGCGCTTCCCACTACGCTAACAAGCCTTGATCTCTTCTCAGTTCGAAAGCATAATATGTGGTGACGGAAGATTAATCCTAATAATAATAATAATAAAAATAAAAATTGCGGACCTCCCTCAAACTGGGGCCTCTCGAAAGGTAATGACCACTCGTTCGGACGCGAATCCCGCTGCCTAACAGGTCTTTCGGGCTTGTCAATATACCCAGCAGCGCCACACTATGAATATAACCCAAAAAGAAAGGGAGATCCAAACGACATATGGCCTGTCCCAGAGTCGAACTGGGACCTCCCACGTAACTTCCTTAGCCAAACATTAAATTATTGGGTGCGCTGCCGAGTGAGCCAACAGGTCGCTCTGGTATCTTAATTGAACGACTGTATCTAGTGGACGGTTTGAATTTAAACGAAATAATAAAAATGAAAAAGAGATAGAAAGTTGCAAAATGGCCCGTCCCAGAGTCGCCCACATAACTTTACTGATCAACATCAAATTATGGTGGGTGCACTACCATCTGCGCCGACAGGTGTTTCTGATATCCTAATTTACATACAATATACCGTGCAATGCTCTGAGTAAAAGGAAACGACGAGGACCAAACACGTGCGAAAAGCGGATTAATGACCTGTCCCAGAGTTTCCCACATAAGACTAGAAAATACAGCTATTGTGGGTGGGTGTGGTGCCGAGCACGCCAACAGGTCCTCCCTCATATTAACTGAACTACGATATGTAGTGCAGGTGCAGGGTTCTAAACTTCAAATAGGATGACACGACCCGGATCAAAAAAATGGCCGCAGACAGCGCAGAATGACCGAACTTTGGCCTCCCGGGGAATTTCTAACGGGCTGGCTACCATTTGCCCCACCCATCTATTAATTGAACTACGATATGTAGCAGAGCAAAACGAGCCAGCCGGAAAATAAATATTTGCAATCGACGAAAGTATGAATGACCTGTCCCAGAATCGAACTGGGGTCTCCCACATAACTTTTGAAGGAACACCCAATTATTGCGGGTGCGCTGCCGAGTACGCCAACAGGTCTTTCTGCCATGTATTGAGCTACAATATGTAGCGGAGTAAAAATGAACCCTGGTCTAAAATGCGCGAGGAGCCCCGCAGTATGACCCATCCCAGAGTCGAAGTGCCACCTCCCACATAATTTCGTACCGAAATATCCAGTTGTGGGTGCGTTGCCGAGTGCGCCAAAAGGTCTTTTTGGCTTATTAGTTGAACCTGAATATATACACCAGTCACGGAAGGCTCTTAATATAAAACGTAGAGGCTTTGAAACAAAGAATATCAACTTGTCCCAGAGTCGGGGCCTCCCACATAACCTCATATCGACCTAATTTGTTGTGGGTGCGCTGCCGAGTGGGCTAACAGGTCTTTCTGCTATAACAATTAAATTTGAATACAGCTTTGAATAAAAAATACAATGACTCTGACCAAAACTTCGGAAATAGTGGATGACCCGTCCCAGAGTCGAACTGGGGCCTCCCACATACTGTCTTCGGAAGCTCAGCACTCAGTAGTTATTGTGGGTGCGCTGCCGAGTGCGCCAACAGGTCGTTCTACCATGTAAATTGAACCGTAATAAATTTGTGAGTAAACGTCTGCTGCCGAGTGCGCCAACAGTTTTCTGGTATTAATTGAACTGCAATACTAGTGGAGGGTTCTGAATAAAATGTGACGACGAAGGACAAAAATGTGCAAGTGACCCATGGATGACCCATCCCAGAGTCGAACTGAGGTATCCTGCATAAGCTCGCTCTGATTTATTCTGCGGGCGGGCTACCTTAGCAAGCTACAGTTATTGTACGTGACTGGCTGCTCAAAAGCTTACTCTACTATTCACGGTCTTTTTTCCTGACCGTTTATTTACCGGCGGAAAAAAAAAAAAGAAAAGAAAATACGCCGAAAATGGATATGACCTGTCTCAGAATTGAACTGGGGACTCTCGCTAAAACTCATTATAGCCTGGGCATATGTCAGCGAGCGCACCACCAACTGTGCCAACAGGTCGTCGTTAACAGCTCGGAACCGAAGAAGCTCCCTGCAAATAGTTATGGCTGAACTGGCGTCGGCCCGAAGAAATGATGGCCGATCCAAACTCCGCGCGGTCCGAGTGCCATAATGATCTTCTCTCGCTGCTACTATCTTAGACCCCGAAGTGATAATGACTTTTGATGGCTCTATTTTCGTTCTGTCCGCTGGGCCGTTACCTCTCGGTATTTGTTCATAGGTTCTTAGACATATGAAAAGTAGTATTCCTGAGTGCCATAATTTTTGGATGCTTTTCGACGAAGTTATGAGGTCCCCGAGGATCAGACCTAGAAGTGATAACGCTTTTTGGCGGTGTTTTGATCGCATCAAAAATAGAGGTTTTCATTTTTTTCTGTCCGCCTAGTGGGCTCCAAGACTCAAAGAAGTTTACCAGACCTTCGAGAATACATCCTTTCATGTCATTCTTTTTTCTCAGAGCATAGGAGTAAGAATTACGGCGAGCATCAGTGACTTATCACTTCTAGTCACATTATCACATCTGGGCCTATTATAGTACTGACCGTGTTGGACCAAACAACGAGTTATATGCCCGGACTATGAAGAGACGCCAGTGGACGCCGGACTCCGGTATCCATCGGTGGCTGACGGGATCAGTCGATAGGAGATATTGATTAGCAACAGATTAGATAGTGTCATCCACTGATTTCCGATGATTACCGATGATAGCCGGCAATCTTTCCTTTCCAATTTATTTGATATAGGGGTCTCCGCTGAAGTGGATGTCTTCCACTGGAATCCACCGGACCTCAGTGGCAAATCGACCCGCCAATCGCAGCGCCTCTACTTCGAGCATTTTTCTCGGAGGCTCATCATTTCGCACGGACTCCAGGCCGCATTTACGGTTCCTGCTCACTCCAGTGCACATGTTCTTGCCGAATCGGTCAGGGATACTGTTGGACGCAATGGAGGACTCGTAGCGGGTGCCATGGACCATGGCTGTACCAACTGCACACATTTGAAACGATACACCTCGGATTTTGTTGCGGAGGGTGCTGTTCTTGGTGGTTCTAATGACGATGTTGTGGATGGGCCTGCTGTAAGTACTATTCTGCCTAGACTTTTCCTCTGAGCGCTAACGTGGAGCAGAATAACGGTGGTGAATGTCCAGAGCCTATTAACCTTCCTGCGGGACTCGGGGCTCCCTCTCAACAAGCGAGGGTAGCCGATAGCGGTAGAGGCTACGTTCGTTTAGCAGTCATGGATGGCAAAACCATCACCCATCGGGTATGTTACCGTATTCATGTCAGATCTTTATTTCACTCATATCAAGATTCGGGCCCTCAGATATGCGCTGTCAGCATCTGTGAGAAGCCTCTGGTTAATTTCAAAAATGGCCGGTTCTGCAGGGATCACCTGGACATGCGATTGATCTGCGGAATAATTCCTTGCAGGCGCTCGGTCGAATTTGAAGGCGCACTCACTTGCAACAATGAATCTCACAAAGACTGGCACCGAAAATACCTAAACCGTTTTTCCCACCTCTCTTTCCCTGGTGTCCAGCGAGTTATCAGATGTCAGGCGGCAGGTCAACAGCACGGACCAGAAGCACCGGCACTCCAGTCGGCCCTTCCTGAATTGAACGGTACCGCCGGTGAAGATGTTGCCCACACCTTTCGAGCGAGGAAAACATACTGTTTACAAACAGTTCAGTGGTCATGTGGGTGCCCCATTGGCTGGGGAAAATGCTATAGGTCGGAAAGCTCGTCGCAGGTGCTCGGAATCATCAACAAAATCTGGGAGGCGCATCCGAACTCTAGACCAAGTTTCCTGGCCTATGACGATGCCTGCAACCTTCTACGGCACATTGTTACCCAAAATCCGACCAGTGTATGGCTCACATCAACGAAGTTCATTGTCGACGCCTGGCATTACATCGGTCACCGCGCAACTGATGTTTTATGCCGAGTGTCAATGTGGTGCAATCCTGCCCCATCGAATGGATCACAGCCGGATTTGATTTCTGTCAGGGTGGATGACAACGGCCGCACGCATACCACACGTGCATTCAACACTGAGACGGCCGAGCAGATGAATGCTTGGTTGAATGGGTATGAGGCACAGTTGCAACAGATGTCGGACACAAATTACGACTTCTGCGTCCACGTTTTGATGCTGTTATACAAGGAATTGGTCGATGCGCGGGTGGCCAAGAAGGAGCAATCACTCACTCAAGGGTTCTGGGATCAGGTCGAGAGTATGGATTAATAGGTAGTAGGTAGACTAAATATCAACTAAGGTGTCCAGTAAATATTTTCTAAAATATTTCCATCAGGCCCGATGGAAGCCAGTGGAATCTGTTTAAGAGCCGTTGGAGTCCATTAGAAAATCTGCTATTTACCGATGGATTTCGGTAGAATGAGACCAAAATTTGGTGCAGCTACACTGACTGCCATTAACATCCACTGGATTTTGTATGAGCATCCAGTAGAATTTGCCCGCCCATCCAATGGAAACCACCGAAGGTCTGCTATTTATCGATAGATTTTGGTAGAATGAGACCAACATTCGGTGCAGCTACACTGACTGCCATCAACATCCACTGGATTTTGTATGAGCATCCAGTAGAATTTGCCCGCCCATCCAATGGAAACCACTGAAGGCCTGCTATTTACCGATAGATTTCGGTAGAATGAGACCAAAATTTGGTGCAGCTACACTGACTGCCATCAACATCCACTGGATTTTGTATGAGCATCCAGTAGAATTTGCCCGACCATCCAATAGAAACCACCGAAGGATTTGATCTGAACCATTGGATATCAATGGATTTCTTGGTGATTCCAGTAGAGTGCAGTGGAAATTGAGCCAATGTATAACGGGATCCGCCGGAATTCGTGAGTGGGACACTGGGAAATAGGTTGACCAAGTTGGGCAACTGGCTACCGTCGGCGGGATGGCCACGGATGAAACTGCCTATTTCTGTCGCCTCGACTCGGATGACTAATACCGACCAACTGGACTCGACTCGCGCCTTCCACTGCCGCGCTCCCGCCTCCCGCCCATTGTTAGGCGGGGGTGCATCGGGCGCATGCGTGCTCCGTGCTCCTGAAGCTTGGTTCTGGATTTATCGGGTTACGCTCCCATTAATCTCAGATCAGATCCGTAGCTATCCGTGCCATTCGAATCTTCTTCAACTCTAGATCTCTTTCGGGCACCTGCGGACAAACCAGTGTTATATGCTATGGTTAAAATTCTGGTTGCAGGCCTTGCTAACATTTCTCCTACACTTTGAACACCATTCTAGCTCGAACTCTTCTTGTTCTTTCCGCATTCTCTCTGTTAATTGCGTATATCAAGCGTCACAGCTCTCGCTTACCATTGCCACCGGGTCCGTGCGTGTCGAATAATAATTTCCTCTTCCAACTCAAGTATCCGCAGAATGCGCTTGCCCTTCAAATGTTCCATCAAACCGAGGTCGAAAGAGTCGGTTGCTCTCATTACTGCTACCTCCCTCCAGTAAGGGCAATAGCGAAACTTTTTTTCAGTTCGGCAGGCGCGTAAATATGCAGAATTATTTGGGGGTATCCGATAACTGCTGAAACATTATTGGCTTGCAACTGGTTCCGCGGGTGGACTAATTAGAAGAGCACCACGATGATTATCTACAGCCTCGGCTTGTATTCACGAACAACCTCACGGGTATCCGCAACTTCTCCTACTCGCTTCCAAATCCGTAGTCGTGTCCTCGTATTAACTGGATATGTTCAAGAACTCCCTTTTTTCTCAGGATCACCCAGTCGAGTGAATGCCTCGATCTGGGCTCGGAAAGCTGCAAGAATATCTTCGGCGCATTTGTATGCGCAAATTGCAGCTCTCTGCAATCAAGAACAACCGGACAAGCAACGAGACTCTGATGAAACTGTTAGCGAAGCTTCCAGTTAGTCTTCTTGTTGTCTATACTAGTCAGGACAACCACTAAACCACTGTTCACGTTTGCCTCAACGACCGTGAGGAATTACGGTGCGACTTCTACTTTGATCATCTTGAGTACTGAGCATCTACCAACTACCGAATCATTCACTCCATTTTATTAGAATATCATTATAATACTCCATTTCACGTTGGTCCCTGCCATTCAGCTCAAATGCAGAAGAAGGCCCGGAAATATACCTGGACGAAGTCTTGATGATGCCGATGCTTTGGCCTTTTATTTCAGACAATGGACGAAAACATGACCAAATTGTTCTTGAACTTGCTCTCGACTTTAACCTCGACTCCAACCTTTCCGTGCTACGTCGAGATTTTCTCATTTTCGCTTCTGTGATAATGGTCAACACGGCGGGGAATAATGGCTACCAAAACGGCGAATGCAAGTATCTTTTTCTGGCAATTTTGCCACCGGTGCCACCCAGTGTATTAACATCTAAATAGGTCCCGCAGACGATGTCTTGAAGGAGACCTTGATTCGTTATGCAGCCCTCCAACTCAAGAATAATCAGAAGCTTTCAAACTTGGCCACCGAGCTAAATTATCACATTGGGTTTGTTCGCTCATTCTGAAAGTT